AAGACTCAATTGGCTCAAGAGGCTAAGGCTTAAACCCATTTACCAATGGTCCAGCTTTGTGGTAGTGAGGTTGTTGTTTGTCTTTCGTTCCTGAAGAGGACCAATGACATTGTGAGGGTGATGTCGTGACTTGAGGGTTAATTGAATTTAGGTGAGGCAGAGCTACACAAAGTTATCAGTCTCATTCTCTCCTCCAGAATCATCAAAGTTCAAAGGCAAGCCAAAAATCAAAATGACTGGTGATGGCCCAGGATGCAGTGGGTGACCTTGGCCTTTTTAAGCTAAGGTCTTCCCCAGCTCTCAGTTTCTCTGAGGCAGTGTGGTGGCCAGATATGGCCTGCCCTAGGGATCATCACACTTGACAGATATTCTAAGGCCAGAGGAGTCAGCACACCCTGCCCTGATGACCAGATACGTTTCCTAATCCTTTTTCGAGTATGTTATATCTAACTAAGCCTCTTTTTGTTAACTGTTGAGTGACCTGTATTTCATTTCATTCTGATATTGAACCTAAACTACCAGTGGACTAATGTCAGTCAAGTCCAGTGTGTGATAATATTAATCTCCCATTTTGCCAAATAGAATTAAATGAGCTAATTACTTATAAAGTATTTTGCAAACCTTAAAATGTTATACAAATGTTAGCTGTTGTCAATAATAATTTGGGAAACGGAATATCAAAAGGATGTTAAAAAATAAAAGATTATATTTACCTTGGGGACCAAATAGTATCATACAACTACAGCTTATTTTTCACACAATTATAGCTTATTTTTACCAGGCTCAAAATGCACTATTACGCAATTTGCAAACTAATGCTGGCTTTTTTTTTTTGCTCTTTATGGGGTTTCTAGTATTATATCCATTCATTTCCTTTTACTACACATTAGCTTCTCTGTATTATCTACTCTTTTGGTCTTCCCCAAATCCATTGAAGATGTCATATTCATTCAAAGTTCACAGCTTTGGAGTACTCCTCAACTTTTTATTTTATATCACTTCCCACCTCCCGACAATATCCAGTCAGTTGACAAGTCTTGTCAAACTTCCCTTGGCAACACCTCTGGTGTCCATACCATTCTCTGCCCTCACATGGCCACCACTCTAGTTCAGGTGCTGATTACTTCTCTCTTGATCTATTGTAATAGCCTCCTAATTGTCCTCCCTGCCTCAAGTCTCTACCTTTTTGAATCTGTCCTTCACATTACTACCAATTGATATTCCTAAAGCCCAGGTCTGACCATGTCACTTACTTGATCAATGAATTCTGATGGCTCCCCATTGCCTATAGTATGAAATGCCAACGCCTTTGTTTGGCACGTAAAGTCTTTCCAAATTGGACTCCATTCTATCTTTCTGAATTAATTATACATTTAGCCAAAATGGCCTTCTTGCTGTTTTCCATTCACAACATTCTATCTTCCACTTTCATTCCTTTACATGAGCTATCCCTTTGTGCCTGAAATGTACTCCCTCTACATCTTGGTCCCAGAGAAGTCTTTGTTTCCTTCAAGTCTCAACACATTTATTACCTCTTACAGGAAGGCTTTCTTGATTCCCCTCACCAAATTATTTGTGCTCTCCCTGCCCAAAACTGTCGTTTTACACACACATACATTGTATATTGTATTTACTTTTGCACCAAGGGTGATAAGGGAAATCTGCGATTTGTGAGATGGGATATCTCCCACATAAAAGGACACATGCTCTGGCTATTAACTAAATTGCTGTTTATAATTCTACATGACCAGAATGACATAGGGTATTTCCAGACTGGGGACGTACCAAAGACAATTGGAGACTGAAAGTCAGAAGAATATAATAATAATGATAATAATAGGTAGCATTTGTATAGCACCTACTATGGTACTGTGCTAAGTGCTTTACAAATATTTCATTTGATCCTTACAACAACCCTGGGAGGTAGGTGCCATTATTATCCCCATTTTACAAATGAAGAAGCTGAGGCAAGTATAGGGTAAAGGACTTGCCAAGGTCCCACAGCTAGTAAGTAGATATGGTCACATTTGAACTCAGATCTTCCTGACTCCAGGTCCAGTGTTCTCTATCCACTGTGCCACCTAGCTGTCTCTTTTTAGGAGAAGGAGACACCTCTGGAATCAGAGGAGTAAGGAGAAATGTCTACACATTTTTCTCTATTCCACTCCCTCTGTGCAGTGCTTTCTCTCCCTTGGTTTCCAAGCAAGAAGTATCACCCTCTCCATCACTGAATTGGGTTCATGGAAACCTCCCTTTGGGACCCCATAGGCTCAGGGATACACTTATCTGTGTACATATTGTTTCTCCAGGTCAAATACAAGTTCCTCAAAGGTCAGTTTCATCTCTGTCTCTGCGTTCTCGATGCTTAATATTGTGCATGGCACATTGTAGGTGTTTAATAAATGCATGTGAATTTAATCAACTTGAAAAAAATCTCTGCTCTTGGCTGAAGTATTTTCCCCTGGGCTCCACTGCATTTCTTCAAATACTTAAAACATGAAATTAAATCCTGTTCTGCTTTAATTTGATCTCTCTCTCTCTCTCTCTCTCTCTCTCTCTCTCTCTCTCCTCTCTCTCTCTCTCTCTCTTCTCTCTCTCTCTCTCCCTCTCTCTCTCTCTCTCTCTCTCTCTCTCTCTCTCTCTCTCTCTCTCTCTCTCTCTCTCTCTCTCTCTCTCTCAAAATCCCAGAGAGCCATTGGCTGAAGGATGTTGTTTAAAAATAATGTAGTTACTCACTGAACTAGATAGTTGTTTGAAGTTGAAAGGGCTCAGAGAACCTTAGCTAAACAAAACTGAGGACATGACTCAGGAGAGTTCTTCTCTAGCTAGAGACATCCTGTGAGCTTCACTTAGAGGCCTCAGGGACCAAGGCTTATCATTATTTTATTGATTCTATGAGATCTGTGCCCTCTGGAAGACAGGGGCATATAATGGGATATAAGGGAAAAGCTACTGAACTGGAAGCCAGGACACCTGGGTTCTAGTCCTGGATTTAAGATCTTATGAGTTTCAAGCATTTCTTAAATCACCACCAAGTCTGCTCCTCAGTTAAGAGCCACTGAGGTCAAAGATATTTGTGAGAGAAATGGACTGAACAAAGTAGGTCAAAGTATTTCAGGCAGCCAAATTAATCAGAGTCAGGTTAACTCTGAAGACAAAGAAATAACTTTAGCTCCATGGGGAGACGTGGCTTTTTTACAGCCTTCTTTTTGTTGTTCATTTGTTCAGTCATGTCCCACTCTTTCTGACCCCATGGACCGTAGCACACAGGGCCCTTCAATTCTCTACTATCTCAAAGTCTGTTCAAGCTCATATTTGTTGTTTACATGAATCTATCTATCCATCTTATCTTTGCCATCCCTTTCTCCTTTTGCCTTCAATTTTTTTCCAAAATCAGGATCTTTTACAAAGAGTCCCCTCTTTGCATTACGTGGCCAATGTATTTAAGCTCCAACCTCAGTATTTTCCTTCCAATGAGTAATCTGAATTAATTTAAGTATTGACTGATTTGATCACTTTGCTATTCAAGGGACTTTTAAAAGTCTTCTCCAACACCAGTTTGAAAGTATAAATCCTGTGACACTCAGCTTTCCTTATAGTCCAACTCTCACAGATATACATTACTACTGGAAAAACCATAGTTTTGACCATATAGACCTTTGTCAACAAGGTGATTTCTCTGCTTTTTAGTAAGCTATCCAGATTTGTCATAGCTTTCCTTTCAAAGACCAGGTGTGTTTTAATTTCATGGCTGCAGTTGCTGTCTGCAGTGATCTTTGAGCCCAAGAATATAAAATCTGACACTGCTTCCATTTTTCTCTCTCTATCTGCCAGGAAGTGATTAGACCACTTGTCATGATCTTAGTTTTTTGGTTTTTGGAGGTTTTTTTTTGTATTAAGCTTCAAGCCAGCTTTTACACTCTCCTCTTATACTCATCAAAAGGCTTCTCAATTCTTCTTCACTTTATGCCATCAGAGTGGCATCCTCTGCCTATCTGAGATTGTTGATATTTCTCCTGGCAATCTTAATTTCAGCTTTTGATTCATCCAGCCTAGCATTTCACATGATGCACTCTGCACATAAGTTAAATAAATAAGGTGACAATGTACAGGCCTTATCACACTCCTTTTCCCAATCTTAAACCAATCAATTCTTCCATGTCTAGTTCTAACTGTTGTTTCTTAACTCTCATACAGGTTCCTCAGGAGACAGGTAAGAGGAACTGGTACTTCCATCTCTTTAAGGAATTGCAACATTTTGTTGTGATCCACACAGTCAATGGCTTTAGTGTAGTCAATGAAGCAGAAGAACGTGTTTTTCTGGAATTCCCTTGCTTTCTCCATAATCCAGCAAATGTTGGCAATTTGGCCTCTTGTTCCTCTACCTCTTTGAAACTGCACTTCTGCTAGTTCTTGGTTCACATATTGCTGAAGTCTAGCTTGCAGAATCTTAAGCCTATTGTGTGCTGGCATGTAAAATGAATGCAGTTGTTTGATCATTTGAACATTCTTTGGCGTTGCCAAACCGCTACTGCCTGGCTGTTTACTAATACTTTAGTAGTGGGGAAACTGACCAATGAGATCCCAATTATAAGAGTATGTGCAAGATGTTCTTCCTGGTACTAACCCACGTAGAGACTTGGTGAACTTGATTCCAGGCATACATATGGGAGGAGATCTTTTCCCTCCCCATTTCAGAGCAGCTGCAGATATTCTGTTTTCTGTAGATTTACTATATAATGATGGGAAGCAATTTAGCTGGCTGCTAAACTGAAATTGAAAATGCACAGAAAAAGGTAGAAAGAGATGAAATATCACTCTTTTCCCCAATGCCTTCCAAGTAAGGGGGAAGAAACAATGCCTCCCTTCTGCAAGGGAGAAGAAGGAAGGAGGTACCTACCATTCGGCTACCTTATCTCCCTACCTGGCTGTCATTACATGACCGTGCATACTTGGTTCCTCTGTTTCTATCTCTTCTCTTTATTCTTTTCTGCTATTAGGTGAATGACTCCAGGAGATGCAATGGAGCGGGTTATGCCCTCATGAACTTTGCAATATCAGAAGGATGACCAGAGGTCTAGCAGCTGGAATCCATGGCAGATTCTGCTGGCACCCTACAAGCTTAGGCTGATGAGGAGCCAGCCCTGAGGAGTGACCTGTCTGACACAGGTCAGTTGTAGTTCTACCTGGCAAGCAAGACAATACATCCTGAATATGAGAGAAACAGTTCATCCACTGGCTATTCCACACTCAGAAGCAAACCTGGTAGCAGGGAATGTTTTGTGATTGTCAGTTTACAGTTTTGTAACGGGTTGAGCCAACTCACTCCTGAGACTGGAAGTGGCAGAGACACGTGTGCTCCTACTTTGGGAGGTTTGGGGACTTTTGTTCTTCCCAGTTAATATTTCTTTGTAAAAGCCGATAATATATGTGAATTGGTCAATTGATATTGGTGAATATGGGTAAGTGGGCAGTTGGTACTAGGGAAAACGCAGCAGATTGGGGCTCGTGAGTGAGCTTAGAAATCCCCACCGTCAGTCCTTCAGGGTTACCTCTAGAATCCTGAAGGCAGATGTGGCCAGCTGACCTCTGGCGCTTGAGTTTGGATTGGGAAAGTTAAGCCCAGAAACTGCGCTGCTTCTTTTTTCTTCTTTGAAATTTGATCCCAGCATTTGCTGTCAAGTAAGTTTCTCCACTGTTTCAGTTGATCAGTCAGCGTCTTATGCTAAGCATTTGTGGTATGTTGAGTTCTATACTAAATACAATGGAGAGCTGAGGTAAGAGAGCGAGGAATAAGATGATCAGAAACCTAAAAAATAAGAGAGAAAGAGAGAGTGCATTATATAATATAAAAAATTTCCGTCTAGACTAGAAGTTAGAGAGCCTGGGCTGTAGTTCCGACTCTGTTACTACGAACGTCTTGCACGTAGTATGTACTTTTTATGTGTTGAATTTTCTTCATTTGAATAGTCTGAACAAGTTAATTCGTCTTTCAAGGCTTCATTTTCTCTATTTGTAAAACAGGTGGGTTATAAAGAAATGATCTCTAAGGTCCCTTCCAGCTGTAATTTTCTAAGACTATGGCAAGGTTTTCCAAATCTCTTTACTTTTTTTAACTGATTTATTAGCTAATCTATTAATTATGGTACCTGTTCATCCCTTGGTTTGTGGGGAAGAGACCATAGAATCAGGAAGACCCAGGTTCAAGTCCTGCCCCAGACCCACACTGGCTGTCTAGCCTTGACCAACTCATTTAATCTTTCGCTGCCCCCCCCCCCAGCTAAGATTATCAGTTGCCAAACGGGTACTTATTTCCATTACTAAGAAAGAGTTTCCCCAGTTGAAGTTGTACCAATGAAATCACAGGTCTGGTCTAAAAAAAAGGAGAAAAAAATTAAGTAATTTGATAAAAAAATGTAAGGGACTACATTGCCTTTTAACTAGTTATCTACTTCATGCTCATGTCTTGGCCAGTAATTCTGCCTCCCTGGGCTATAATATTAGTCTTTTTGTTTCACTGACAACACCCTAACCCAGGAGTTCTTGGGCTATCAGTCTGATAAAACCTATAGCAGAATACTGTTTTTAAATGCATAAAAGAAAATACATGAGAAACAATTATATCAAAATATAGCTTATACATATGTATATACATGAGAAACAATTGTATCAAAATATAGTTTATACATATATATATACACACACGTACCACAATTATGAGTCGCTACTTAGCACTATCAGCATAACAGTGATTATTAAGTACCCAAAATTAGCTGTCTACTTGCATTAAAAATTTCTCTATCTTTAAATGTTTAATTGGTTTATTCCCATTCTGAAAGGGGACATGAGACATTGCTAATGAATAAAACAGTGCAAACTCAGTTGAGGAGGGTATGCAGAATTAAAGAGAGCTTGGAGTGGGGCAGGGTTAACCAAGGAAAGCTTCCTGGAAGGGGTGAGTTTTGATCAGGGATTTGAAGGATCTTGAGAATGACTCTAATGTTTCCTGTGAACAGTGACATCACTCACTGTCTCTAGAATGGCAATGCATGACATAGGGTCATAGAAATAGTTGGAGATGATCCCACTAGTGTATTTTCTTTGGGCAAGTGGGAGTGGGTAAGGAGGGAAGTGCATGTTGGAAAAATGATGCATGCTTGGTTAATGACATAATTTCAGTCCCATGCATCCCATCACCCCCTGCGGGGAGACAGCTTCCAAACGATGCACTTAATCCATGTAGAATGCCACTGTCATTTAGAGGAATTACTACCCTTGAGGCAGCAATGTCCCAGCCAAGCATAACAGCATTTCTCAGAGGCAAATGGGTTCCTTTATTCAATCTCTCCCAACTCCATCTCGACCTTCTCCTCCCTCCTCCTTTTATCACCCAGGCTGTCTGTCAGGCCAGTCAGGGAAATATAATCTCAGGCTAAGTTTGCCCACCGACTCAAGGATCAGGTGACTATTATGGAAGGCAATACCAGAGCCCTGTCTGTGCCAGCATGACGCTGGGAACAGTCACAGCCTGTGCTGACCTCATGGGGTAGGCACAAAGCAAGCTACGAACTGGCATTTGTAACAGTGGTCATCCTGAGCACGTCACACCCTGGTGCCCTCCTTGACCCCCATTCCAGCAGAGATGGAGTCTTTCCGAGAGTGGGAGGGACGCTCTGATCCCTGATGTCAGTCTCCTGCCACCAAAACCCCACACCTGAAAGGGGCCAGATAAGGACTGAATAGCTGAATTGGTACAATAACCATCCAATAAAAAAATAGAAAACAGAGAAGAACGACAGCTATCCTCAGACAACCCCCCCATGGTTTTGTCTTTACAGAACAGTAAATATCCCCTGAAAATGCCCCTTTGATTAAGAGTGGCTAATAAGGGAATGAGTCCAGAATAAAAAATTGGGGGATCTTCTCCTCTCTTGCGGGAATGTTTCCATGAGGAATTGTACTTAAAATATCCCAAATGAGACTGGGCGCCGTCAGATCCTCAAAGAGAGTCCTCCCACTAGGAGTACTATGAACAATATTTCAGCACGTGCCTGCTTTGCTCTCCCTCTGTGAGACTCTGTGTGAAAAATATTCAGGAGGCCACAAGAAACAGTCAGTGGCTCCGGTCTTAAATTTCTTACAGAGCAGAGAGATTGAGGGGAAAGCAGTAGATGGAGGATTTGGTTTCCTTGACCTGAGAGGGATTGGAGCCAGCCAGACAAAGGAATTTGAGTCAGCAAAGGAAAGCTGGAGAATCCAAATGCCAAGCCTTGGCCATCCATCAGGAGCAGAGCTGCGCTGCTTGAAGAGTCCTAACTACGCATGCCTCCTCCTAGGCAGCGCTCTTCCAAGGAATCATTCAATCAACAAATATTGAGATCAAGTACCTGGTGAGTCTTAGGTGCCAAGGACACAAAGGTAAAAATAAAACGGGTCCTCCCTGCCTTCAACGAGCTTACATTCTATCAGGGGAAGCAAAATGTACACATATAAGCACAGATGAAATAAATACAGGGTAATCTTGAAGGGAAAGCCCTAGCAGTAAGGGGATTAAAAGGAGCCTCGTGCAGTTTTGAAATACACTAAAAATTTTAAGAGGCAGAGGTGAAGAGAGAGTATATTCCAAGCAGGCGGGATGTTCTATGCAAAGGCACTGAATGGAACAGAAAATGGAGCACAAGGAAGCCAGTTTGGTTAGATTATGGAGTTATAATGTTCAATATTCCTGGAAAGGTAGCCTGGAAACAGCTAAGCAGAGGGCTTTAAATGCCAGAGAGAAAAGCATTTATGTAATCCTAGAGGTAGAAGTCACTGTACTCTACCTCCAAAGAGAAAAAGTGTTTATTTAATGCTAGAGGTAGAAGGCAGTGAGGTGACATAGGTATACTGTGCTTCAAGAAAATCACTTTGGCAGTTGTGCAGAGGAGGGATTGGAAAAGGGGGAGACTTTTAGGTAAGGGAACTGATAAGGAGGCCATTGCAAAGGTCCAGGTAAGAGGTGATGAGAGTCTGACCAAGGGTAGTAGTCTTGGGAGCAGTGGAGGGGATGGATCTGAGAGATGCTGCAGAAGTAAAATTGATTAGACTTACCAACTGACTGGAGAGGGGAAGTTAGAGAGACTGGGAAGTTGAGAGTGAGTCACAGGTTTCAAATCTAGGTCACCAGAAGGACAATAGTGCCTCCATCAGAAATAGAGATATCATGATCAGTCATTTTGTTTAAGAAGTTTTACACACTTAAAAGGCAAGCCTTATATAATAAAGATTCATGGTTTCACAAATTGAAAACAGAAAAAGTGTAAGCTACAGTCAGGAAAGTTGAGGAGAGACAGAAACCAGGAACAGAGAAGGAAATATAGTGGCATTCAACTCAATAGTTCCATTCAACAAACATTTCCCCCACAATGGGGGAAATCCTTTTCACCTAATCCAATCTTATCCATCTCATCCTTCAAGACCCAGCTGAAGCCCCACCTCCTCCTCTAAGCCTTCGATTACCATTTTAACCTGCAAGTGATCACTACTTCTCACATCTACCTCTCTATCTATACCTCATTTTATCAGTTGAAGAATTAGTGCAAGAATGCTACCCTCCTCAGAGTGGTGCCATTGGGATGCAATAAAACGAAAAAGGAAGAATCGTTCGTTATTGATTATCCCTTTGATCCTATAAAAACCGGGTTGAAAAGACACTCCCAGAAGGGAAAAAAAAAACCAATAAGAGAAAAACCTCCAAACTAGCTCCTTCCGTGTCTCAGTTCAAATGCCATATCTTTCAAAAGTTCTTTCCTGATTTTTCCCAGTTGTTAGCACCTCCACCAAATGGCTTTGCATTTGTCTTATATATATATCCTACATTGACTTATCTCTGGATATTTTACATCTCTGCCTTGCACCCCAGTAGAATGTAAGCTCCCTGAAGGCAGAGACCTCACTTTCGTATTCTTATCCCTAATGTGGTATTTGGCCCATACTAGTGTCTTAATAAATGCTTGTTGATTGATTCCCTGCGTACCTATTCATGAAATACATACAGGCAGTAAGACAGTTATTGAACAAGGTTGGGGATTAAATAAAATAACATCATGTTAACATCATGTACAGGCCATAATGAGATGGTCATGCCTCTGGTGACATGGCCAGAGCTGCAGAGGGGCTGGAAAAACAGCTGGAGACTGCCTCCAGGTAAGAAGAGACTCACAAAATAAGTCGGCTGGGAAGCAAAGGGAAGCAGGAGCTAATCCTGGATCAGTAGCCCAAAGTGGCTGAGGAAAATGACATCAAGACCCAGGAATGTAAAAAGATATGGCAGGGGA